ATGGCAGGGTACCTCTGAGATCTGTCGTTCGGGAACTGGCGGTGACCATGCCATCTGAGGGTTTGACAGCTACCCCCCTCAGATGGCAGGGTACCTCTGAGATCTGTCGTTCGGGAACTGGTGGTGACCATGCCATCTGAGGGTTTGACAGCTACCCCCCTCAGATGGCAGGGTAACCTCTGAGATCTGTCGTTCGGTCACTCCTGGGTTTGTCGTTCGGGAACTGCCATTTGCCATACACAAGTTTTTGGCGTTCGGTCACTCCTGGGTTTGTCGTTCGGTAACTGCCGGTTGCCATACACAAGTTTTTTGCGTTCGGTCAGCAAGATTTCTGTCGTTCGGTCACACAAGTTGTTTGCGTTCGGTCAGCAAGGTTTCTGTCGTTCGGTCACACAAGTTGTTTACGTTCGGTCAGCAAGATTTCTGTTGTTCGGTCACACAGGTTTCCATCGTTCAGTCAATATGTTTGTTGGAAAAGTTTAATGGACAATTTTATAACTATTAGTTTGTATCTGACAACTATTGCAACCTATCAGTCATTGCATCAAGCCTTACTGTAGAATGATGTAGAATGTCAAGCAAAACAGCACACAATGCTGCAACCATGTTGATCTTATCATAGTCTCTTTTTCTTGATGAATGTTTCTACTAAATTCTACTTTGACTTGACACCCAGTGCACCAATTGTTCTCAGTTACACCTCCAACAGCACAGAGCTATTGGTCCAGCTTCTGGCATTCCAGCAACTGGCTGACAAAGGAAATTTAAACTAATCACATGGAACAATTGTTCTCACACAGTCAGTTGCTCCAGATTAGAAATCATTATGTTCAATTCCTAGAGTTCAATCAGTGGTCCACTATTAGAAGTTGTCACTCACTGCATCAAATCTTAGTGTAGAAAGCCCACGCCCAGCCATACAGTGCACAATGCAACAGCCAAGTGACACTAATCTACAGGCAAGCCCACGCTTCTGACCGTCACCAAATCTGAGTGTACCAAAGCCAATGTGGCACCCGCGAGTGGTCAAAGTCTCACTTGGATCAAATCCTGACAGGGGTGCAGTAAAGAATTCTTTTCAAGAAGGCCCCCACATTCACATGACACACACACACACATTCCAAAAACCACAGAGGACAAGTGGGAAGTGCCTTTGGCCACAATGGACTTTGCAATCATTGCAATCTTCCAGGCCTCACTTTCCTGAGTGTGTGGGCCCAAGCAAGCACATGTCTACAAATCCTCTGGTCAGCCAACACCCACCATTATGAATATGAACAAGACTTAGCTCCACCCTTGCAACCCAGCTTCACCACTCCAAAGGCTGTTGGCAGCAAAACTCCAGTGATAAACGCAAGTCTTGCCGACCTCACCTGCATTTGCACTTTGCTCCATGATGCTTCTCCCACTAAAGCCAGGATCATCCAAACCCAGCAAAGAGTTCAACTTGTCGATGGTCTCAATCGGCGGATCATCAAGTGGCAACCTGATCACATGCTCCATGAAGCTCCCTTCTCGCTCACGGACATCCTGAGTTTTGGTGGAATATAGGTCAGGGAACACAAAATATGTTCAGTGTAGAACCTTTACATAAACTGACAACTCTGTCACTGTTTGACATGATGATTTTGACCAAATGGAATGAGCAAGACTGTTAACTAGTGTTGATGTGATAATGGTCACACTTGTCACTGTTTGACATGATGAATTTGAAGCAACCAAATGGAATGAGCAAGACTGTTAACTAGTGTTGATGTGATAATGGTCACACTTGATTTGGTTGCCAATCTCAGCTGAGCCTCCTTGCGCATAGCATCAATCCTCTCTTGGAGTCTCTGTTGCCAGCCAGGCTCCATTGCCGCACAAGATCACACACAAAATTTCACAACAAATCCCTGGAGTCTCTGTGCATGGGTTTCACAGCAGACAGCCACAATGTACCCATGCATTGATTGAAAACGAGCACAAGAAGACAAACTTGAATGTACACGCACTTGGGCTCTGCACCATGGACATAGAACACAGCAAGTATAACCCCTAAAGAAACATCAGATCCAAGACCAAGCCTCCACACAAACTTAACAGTAAACAGTAAACAATTTCATGCATTGACAACTTCAGACCTCAGAAAAGAATCTACACAATGTGTGAACCTTCACCACAGCACCAGGTATATGAAGCGTTTGTAGGGCGTTTCACTCTGTTCTTCATATCCACAGGCCACACACATACATAATGCACCTAGATCACTTTCCGGGGAGGACAAACAGCAAAACTGCCAAAGCAACAGCTGCAATTACATTGCTTGTGAAAGCATTCCCCAGTAGATCTTGGCACTCTGTACAGCTGAGACGATGCTGGAGGCCATAAAGCTCTGCAGGACTTAACCCTTGCAATGCAAAAAGGAATTGCTTTCCTGGATTGATAAAGACTGTGCCCTCCGTCAAGTACAAATATCTCTTCCTCGGTAGCAAACAGTGGTGCGTGGTCTTCCATCGCATTCGGGTGATGCTGTCCCCAATGTTGCAGACATAGAGGACACCCTTCAACACAATATCCTCAGTTCAAGGCAGACCAGGTCTTATTCATTGCTCCTTTTTGCCCAACCCACCAAAAAATCAATTTAAAAAAACAGTGAAACTCAGTCAAGTCACTTGTTGTCGCTGCTTTCTCAGTGCTGCAAACGTAAGCATGGCGCCTTCAACCTCTCTCTTCGGCAGCTGCAAAGTTTGCAACTGCTCCTTCAGCCACATCAGCTGCTTGCAGCACAGGTCAGCATCATCAATGCCATGTTGATCTTTGAACTTTGTGTGCATTGAAGGCCACTTTTTGCCAGTGCCCTCATCCTCAATCTTCTTCTTATTCTTTCTCTTGTTGTCAATCTCCTGACTGTTCTGCACACAAGAACATGGTCTGAACCCAAGAAAGATTAAGAATAGGACATGGTCCAACCCCAAAAATGTTGAAACAATGCATCAATATCAACCAAACTGCAAGAAATTACAAATGAAAGGCTCCTCAGGGACTTCATCCCTGCAATCATGGCTCCTCGTTCTCTCCCACAGCATGAACAGAGGCTCAGTCCACTTCAGTTTGCAACGGCCAACAAACTCCCAGGCAGATTCCAACTTCTTTGTCAATGCTGCTTGCGACACTGTGTCCAGACCTCCATTGGTCTTGATGGAAATCCCATACGTACGTCCACGGGACTGAGGAATGCTGAAGTCTTGGCCTCCACTGAAAGCCCACAAAACCACTATCAGCTAACCCAGTGGAGTAAACATGATTAAACTAAATCTTTAAAGTAGCACAGTCATACTCAATCTATCCAAAGAACTGTCAACTTTCTGAAACTCTGTAATGTATCCACGCTGGGCAGAAGTCTCCTTGACCACATCAGTCCCTCGCTCCTGAACATTGCTTTGCCTGAAGCTGTCCAGCTTGGAAACGCATTCCCAAATAATGCAATCTGGTCTCTGTTCCAAAGTGCATGCATCCAAGTACCTGCCACATCAAACACATTGGGGCAGATCAGTTGAGCTCAATAAAAGATCCTGGCCCTAGGAAACAACCTTTAATATGCCATGAGGGTAAACAAACAAGCTGGAGTGTTCTGAGCTGCGACAAGAACTCCACCATGCTCTTTCCTGATTTCCCATTGGTGTCCAGGATGGATCTTGGTGTTGGTGTGAGTCCAGAGACATCGTCGCACTCAATGCTCATGATCGCAAGGTCACAAAGAGGCACTTTGCTGAGATGAGGTTGCTGCAAGTGCCCAGTTCGTTCATAAAACCTGGTCTCAGATTGACATTAAAGGTGACATGATGTGACCAAGAAGAAGAAGCAAACCACTTGGCAATGCATTTTGCTGAGGCAAAATTTGAAGTCAGCTTTTCTGATGAAACCATGCAGACCACATACAAATTAACAAGTCCTAAACTCAGTTGTTCAGCAATAATAGGCAGGAAACTGCACAGCAGCGTTTGGTTTGCAATCACTGAGGAATTGGGTAAGAGATTCCCTCTTCCATTTGCAGCTTTCTGTGAAGAACGAAGGCACCAAGTCAACATATACATCTTGAATGGACAGCTTCTTGGTCAACATTTCCTTAACTTGGCCACCATCACTTGGTCACTTCAGAATGCTGTGCAACCAGCTCTTTTTTAACAACTGAGACCACTAACAACAGCAAAAAAGAATGGAACAAACAATGCACATAGAGCACAGCTCAGTTTCCAGCGCTATAGTTCCAGTCCCCATCCCTGCACAAAACTCCGCATAATGCACCGCACTGCCCATGGTTGCCTTCATCTTCTTCAAGTGGAGCATCTCTGATGCATTCACAACTCTGGAACAAACATATTCCAAAAAATCACTCAGCCCTGAGGTTTTCAACCCGGGGTTCTCAGTCTCACCATGGGCAGAATCATCAGTCACCAATCGTTTCAGTACCTTCGCAGCTCTTCTGCCTTTGTGAGCAGCTGCTGCCCTCTTGATTTTGTTAGTCTCCGGTGAGCCATCACTTTCAGATGAGGTCTCTAGAGTTTTGTCAGAATCATATGGTTCAAGACTTCTTTTGCAGGCCCCTCCAGGGTTGCTTCTCCCTCGCCCACGACCTTGACGAGCTGGATTTCTCTCACTCCTCCCATGGCCACTTGCACGTCCACGCCCTCGGCCGCGCCCTCGTCCCTGTGCACGCTTCCTTGGAAATCAAAAGCTGAATCACTGATTGGGCAAGTTTCAACAGGACAGCCAACTACTGTTCACATGTCCAGAAGGCTTGGTGGGATAACAACACAAACCAAATGATGATCAAATCCCAATGCCAGGCACTGTGGTTGCACAAGGTCTTCATCAGAATCAGCATTGGATGTGGCTGCACAAAACACAGAGGACATAGCCAGTGAGGGAACAAACACAACTAACCAGTGGTAACTTTGCAGCGTGTGCTACATGACCACTTTCTTGCTTACACAGATTTTGTGCTTTGAATTTGCCTTGCTGGTTCCACTTGAGGCACATAATTTGATCCAGCGCAGGAAACAAGACATGAAAGACATAGATGACACAAAGCAAAGCTTGACAGTGAACACAGAACGCAAGATCAAAGCTGATGAGGGCACTAAATGAATAGTGTAGCAGTCAAACGTGCCAAGCAAACAATTCTTGAAAGCAGAGAACTGCATGAATGTTTGTGTTTTGTGAACTCACTACCTTATGGGCGTGAAGACGCTATGTTAATTAACTTTTTCTCCATCACATGATCTTTTGGCACTGGCAGCACAGTGTCCCAGGCTTCACAAACCTTTCATGTGCAACATTTCAGCTGCCCGCCCCAAAGAGACAAGTGCTCCCAGGACACACCCCAGTACTGCTCTCACCATCATCATCGAAGGCCAATTGCAAGCCACTGTGGCCTCAAAACAAATTTGGTAGTCAACATGGAATCAAAAAAGACAACCTCTTGTCTCTGAGGCAAAAGCCAATGCAACTGGCTCAGTCATAATGCGCATGATCAATCCAGCCAGCTGCAACCCTCGCGACATGGTACCTGGTCAAAGCTGGCCATCCAAGTTACCATAGATTGAACACAACAATGAAGGCTAATTAGGTGCTCCAAGACAAAGTTGCTCCATTCTTGCGATCAACCTCCACCAGAATTTCAAGGCCAGTGAGGCACAGTGAAATCAGGTCAGTGCAAAGGCACACACTCAGAAGTCATTCAACACTAACTTGCACAAGCTGCAATGAACCTTGTTCACAGCATCTGGAGCAAGGACACGCTGAACATAAAATTGGCCATCCAGGCGACAAGTGATTCGTTTGGCATCCTCTTTCGCTGACTGAGGAGGGTAACACGTGAATGACCTGAAGTGCAAAAAGGAACAGTGCCCACATAGAGAGCAACATAGCTATCTCAGCACTATCTCAGCACAACCAGAAGTTCAGAAAGAATTGGTTAGCTCAAAAAACTCTGACAAAACAGGGCACATGTAATCTAACATCCTAAGTGCAACCTTCCTGACAAGGGACACCCTCTCAAAGTCTGCTGAGATCTTCAAGTCTTCATGTTCACAAGCCTGCAGCACCTGCCTTCCTCCCAAGATCTTCTGCTGCCTGTAGTTATTGTTCTTGCCCTTCCGTCCAGCAGCGGCATCAGCACCCTCAGGGGCCACAGCATCACGCACTGCATCAGCCTCTGGTGCATGGGCTGCTTCAGCTTCAGGCATTGGAGCAGCGCTTGCAACCTCGGAGCCCACAGCTTCACAGGCTTCCTCAGGTTGTGGTGCATGGGCTTGTTCAGCTTCGGGCATTGGAACCTCATTCTCACTGGCATCAGCATCAGCATGTGGATGAAGCTCCTCCTCGATTGGGCCACCCTCCTCAGCCCCTTCATGAACTGGGCTGCAGGTCAAACATTGCCACGGCAAGTCCTCGAAGGCTAGTGCATCCTCACCACCCTTTCCAGGAGATGAGACCTCGATCTCCACTTCCATTGCCTGCGGCGCAACAGCTGCACTCCTCCCAGCATCAGGAATCTTCATCTCACTGGCTTTGGGTCCAATAGCAGCATGCCCATGCATCACTTCTGCAGCGCCCTTCCCATCAGAAAGGATAGGCCTTGCCACAGCCGTTGCCACTTCCTTTGCTTCTGCAGTTGGCTCCTCGCATAGGAAGTGTTTTTGGTTTACAGTATGTTATATTCCCTAAACATATACCAACTTCAGAGTTGTTTCTTGAAAGCACAGCGAAGTGTCCATGACTGGGCTCTTCTCAGGAGAAGAAATGTATCCATCCCAGAAGCCACAAAAGCCATGACTTCCCAAGCTGCGTTTCCTTCTTTCGGCCTGCCTCTCCTTCAACTGGTTGGGATCAACATAGAACCTGGACACAACCTTGTGAGGGCTGGAGGTCGCAGCTGTTTCAGGAATGATGGAACAAGCATTTGCAGGCCCTTCAGCGATCACCTGTGTGGCAGGCACCCCACCTATCTCCAAGGCCGTACTCTTCTTTGAAGTGAGAACAGCTGCACAGAGGTGTGGAGGACGAACTGGTAATAAGGTCTTCTTCTCCTCGTCAGAGTCCAACTCCATGGTAGCATCACGGAGCCCTTTGTCCAGCTCCATGTTACACCTCTTGACCTCAGCCATCTGCGCAGCTTTGGCCTGCTTTGTGTTGGGCACCACAGGCATCTCAACAGGCATCTTGGGGGGCAGCAACACCATGATCTTGCTGGAACACTTCTTCAGCCCTCTTTGGCATCTCTGAAGCTGACGACACGCCTCCAAAAGGAGCATGCTCATCAACATCACTCTCCTCCTCTCCCAATAGGAGTGTGCGCCTCTTCAAAAGGGCCTCGCGAGCATCCCTCTCATCATCTGGCTTCTGGGCTGCATCCACCTTCCTCTTCAGGTGCCCATTCCCTCCACCTTCTTGGTCTGCTGCAGTGTCAACAGCTTGAGCAGGTTCAAAAGCATCAGACATCTCCTCTTCATACCACTTCAAATTCAGCCTCAGATTGCCACCAAGTCAGCAGCACTGTAGCTGTGTACACATAAAGGTTTTATGGACTGTCATTGTTGGAATGGAAGAACAACACTTGTCCAGTGCCCACTCCACCTGACACACCCTTTGACATGACTAGGAACTTTCTGGGCGGTTGCTTCATTCCAGTTCTGACTGGCGCCGCAACGGGCCTCATATTTTCCTTGCCAAGGATGACGCTAGCTACAGCATCCATCATGGGGGAACTCATGTTGATCAACTGGATCGAGCTCTAGTCACAATCACCAAGTTTGGGCTGCTTCTAGCAAAAGCTGCGGGTGGAGCTTAAGATGCTTGGCCACTGATGACCAGCAGCAGTCACACAACAATGGATCACAAAATGGGTGTCAACACAATTCTTGGAAATAGCTAGTTAGTCGTATTCAATGCCAAAGTCCAATTGATTTGAGCGCATGACTTTGAAGCAGAGCTTCAATGATGCAAGCATCACTGCAGCCAAGCCTGGCAATTCACAATTCAAAACTTCAAGTCTTAGCTCAAAAGTCAAACTACAGAGTGCTAACCAACAGCTCCACTGAATGGCCCCCAGCAACCACCAACCTCAGCTATGGGCAAAAGCAGTTTGACTTCATCATAGTGGTCATTGCGGAAACTGCTTGACAAAACAACATGAAACAACACACACATGACATGGAACAGTCATTTTTTGTTGCAACCACCCTAAATCTGTGCGCAACTCCTGGATTTCCAAGAGTTCCTCCAGCTTCTGGAATTCCAGAAGCTGGTGAGCAGTGAGCGGTGCTCAGGTATGAATGAGCCAACATTTAATTTATTCTTGGCTCAAGGCCATAATTAGCCCAACGTCTCGTTCTACCAGCAAGCAAGTCTGGTCCACACAGTTGAAGGAACAGACTCTCCATGAATAGAAAAGACAGAGAAGGGAACAAGCCAAACCTAACAAATTGTAGCAAACTAGAATAAAAGCTCATGGATTGATATCACTCAAGGTTGAGAAGAGGTGATCTGTTGGTTTGAGCATGCACCAAAGAACACTTGACACAATGCATCAGTGGCAAGTTCGCATCATCATGAAGCATCATCAGGCCAACCAGCATCACATGACATGAAGGCATAGCCAAAGGATTTCGCAATACCCTTGACACACTCAGTTGACAACGCATTCTGGAATCAAACAGCAGCTGGTTCCAATGTTACAA